GCCACGGGCCCATCCATCTGGCCCATCAAGACTCACTCTCATTTCATCAGTCCATAAAACCTTAGAAAAATCAGTCTTGAGATATTTCTTGGCCCAGTCTTGACGTTTCAGCTTGTGTGTCTTGTTCAGTGGTGGTCGTCTTTCAGCCTTTCTTACCTTGGCCATGTCTCTGAGTATTGCACACCTTGTGCTTTTGGGCACTCCAGTGATGTTGCAGCTCTGAAATATGGCCAAACTGGTGGCAAGTGGCATCGTGGCAGCTGCACGCTTGACTTTTCTCAGTTCATGGGCAGTTATTTTGCGCCTTGGTTTTTCCACACGCTTCTTGCGACCCTGTTGACTATTTTGAATGAAACGCTTGATTGTTCGATGATCACGCTTCAGAAGCTTTGCAATTTTAAGAGTGCTGCATCCCTCTGCAAGATATCTTACTATTTTTGACTTTTCTGAGCCTGTCAAGTCCTTCTTTTGACCCATTTTGCCAAAGGAAAGGAAGTTGCCTAATAATTATGCACACCTGATATAGGGTGTTGATGTCATTAGACCACACCCCTTCTCATTACAGAGATGCACATCACCTAATATGCTTAATTGGTAGTAGGCTTTCGAGCCTATACAGCTTGGAGTAAGACAACATGCATAAAGAGGATGATGTGGTCAAAATACTCATTTGCCTAATAATTCTGCACTCCCTGTAGTATAAAACCCAGACTTGCTGGTATTAGAAATTAAAAGCTTTTTATTTTTACTTTATGTCAGCAGTGAACATTTTGTTTTCCTTGTTTCTTTTAATAACTTCCAGGGCATTTGCCTTTTTCACCTCGGGGCAGGCAGGAGACGAGGGAGCGCTGATCAGTGAGCTCTCCCGGCTCAGCTCCCTTGCGAGCCACAGAGTGATGCTGAGAGCCAGAATATGACGTCATATTCCGGCTCCCAGTATCACTCTGCGGTGCGTGAGGAAGCTGAGCAGGGAGAGCTCACAGATCAGCACTCCCTCACTGTCCGCCTGGAGTTTAACCACCCTCCTGCCTTCCTGCCTGCACAGACCGGCTAGCAGCCCCACTGGACCCCAGGTAAAGAATCCACCCAGCTCTCCCAAATGTAGGGAGGCTGGGAGGATTTAAAAAAAATAATCTGTGTTTGGGGGAAATGTGTGTGTGTGTGTGTGTGTCTGGCTGTCAGTGAGTCTGTGTGTGTGTATATCTGTCAGTGTGTGTCTGTGAATGAGTGTGTGTCTGTCTGTCAGTGAGACTCCCTGCCAATCACAGGTGAAATGCGTAAAGTGGGTCCCTCTGAAGATATTTGATACTGACTTACAAATTTATTTTTATCCTTCATTTTATTTACTTCTTGGCACCATCATATTCCCAGGTGGAGATTATACCACCTATGCTGTATACACTAGAGCAAGTTTTGCCCTAGTAAATGTGAGTACACTACTTTATTCTCTTTTGAACACTAAAAAGCGCCCTATCTGAGCTACCAGAGAAGTCTAGACCTACATATATCCTTAGACGGGGATTGTTCCGTCTATGCACATCACAGCTTAGCTTTAAGTTAGCTCTAGCAAATATGAGTGATACTATATAAGATTATTCTAGTATTCACCCACTGGACATACCATATTGTACTATTGTATTCCTTTGTCTTTTTTGTTTTTGAGGTCAATTGTGTGTACAATTCCAAAAGATTTGTGTCCATATACACTTTTTATTTATACTGTTTGGGGCGCGGTGTCCTTCTACTCCTTTTCCATAAATACTATGCAGTGGAAATGGTAATTCAGCTTCTCTTATTAGGCTTTAGCCTTTGCAGCCCTAAATACCACGATGCACAACCATACTTCATGTCCAGAGGTGTAGAGTTTGGGATATATGCATTTTTTATTTTATTTTTTACTTCTGAATAGTGATGTCCCGAACGGTTCGCCGAACGGTGCCCCACGGACGGCGAACATATGACCCTGTACCTCACAGTCAGCAGACACATTCCAGCCAATCAGCAGCAGACCCTCCCTCCCAGACCCTCCCACCTCCTGGACAGCTCACTAAGAATGCAGCTTCAAAATGGATGCTGTCCAGGAGGTGGCAGGGTCTGGGAGGGAGGGTCTGCTGCTGATTGGCTGTAATGTGTCTGGTGACTGTGAGGTACAGGGTCATATGTTCGCCATCCGTGGCGAACTGTTCAGCGAACCGTTCGGCGAACCGTTCGGGACATCACTATTTCTGAAATGTATGTGCTAATATGTATGCATATATATGTAGGATTTAATTTTGTTGAATCCTATATTTGTTTCTAGTTATATCACATTACCTACGTGCAGATATATCTTGCAGCTTTCCTTTCATCTTTTTCACAAGCGATTTCCAAAGATTAAGTCATGGTGTTTGGTATTCGGTATACTGCGGACACTTTTATATCAGGACTGTATAAGCTTGCTATGTTAAGTTTTTATTACACTTAACTCTAAAATTGGGATCTGCAAAATTCTTCCAGAGTTTAACGCCTCCAAAGGCATTTATTCCCCCTCATCTTAATTTTTAGCCACAAAATTACAATCTACTTCTGGGTCTATTCTTTACCTATACCTTTGATATTAGGGGGCCCTTAGTAGGTTTAAATTTTCTTTTCATAATGTTGAGAAGATCTCTACAATGGCTTGTTGTGAGCCTGGCCACGCTTAGGGTTTAATTAATGGTTATTTTTTGTCTAATTAGCCTGCATGTTAATCACTGATAGGCATTTATATCCATTTTTCCTATTTTCTGTTTGGTATAAAGCTATATTACTCACCCTATAATATGGCATGTATATATATATATATATATATATATATATATATGTTTCATATATATGCATATATGTGTCTGTATAAGTGACAAAATACACTAAACCAAACACCTTAAATGCCACCAGTGAAAATATGGATAATGAGCAATTCCTCGTTCTCTAAAATTGGAGAGAGTATGAGATTCCTCCAAATCTTGACTAATGTCTGTATAACTGTTTATTTCCATTTATTTGCATATTTAAATGAAGTGTGTTGTATGTCACATTTGATTTTGAGCTCTGGAAGAGCTGATTACTAACTGTGTGTATTTTCCTACCCCGCAGATACTAATAAAGTTCTAACTTACAGTTTAATACAGGGGTTGTTTCAGAATTACTCCAGTAGGCAGTCCCATCAGCAGGGGATGATATACTTTGAGATTCAGGAGCCATAATCCGCAGGCTCCTGTATGGTGGGTTCTCTAGGTGAAATTGTTCCCGCCCTCTGTTTTTTATCTTGCTATATCATCCCACTTGTTATGACTGCCGCTTGGACGTTTAGAGAAAACCTAAATTTTACTTACCCTAAATTTATTTTTCCTTAGTCCAAGCGGCAGTCATACTTTCTCTCCCTTTATACTATAAAAAATGAATAAATTAATAAATAAAAGTGTAAACCTATTTCCTTCTCTTAGCTTGTTATATACTGGGGCGCTCAGGGTTGAGTTTCCCTTTATACCTGTAATGTGAGAAATGGGCAACTACATCCCATTTGTTATGACTGCCGCTTGGACGAAGGAAAAATACATCTACAGTAAGTAAAATTAAGGTTTTTCCATACAGAAGGACGTTCACTCACGTTATAGTCTGGAAGAGTAGGAAAGCATTGTTCTTGAATGTCTAATAAAGAAATGGTAGAGAGTACTCCGATAGAAGCTTTTATTTAGGTATGTAAGGTGAATGGAGGGTGTAGCGCCTTTGGGGAGTTCTCAGACGTGAAAATATGCAAAATAGTAATTTGAAAAAATATGGTGTATTATTTCTTGTTCCAATTTTTAAAAGCAAGAAGGAAATGAACTTACAGTGTGTAGAGCTTAAGTGAACTCCACGCTTAATTGGTACAATCCCTGCCTGTGGATATTTGCTGAGTTCTCCTATTCCACTGGATTTGTGGAATAAACAGATATTAAAACCAAATCTAGTGTACTATATTGCAAAATAGATGTAAAATTTAAATAAATAAATACACTCAAAGTGCATAGGGCCTCCCACCGGCTCTCTGAAAACAACTTAAGGCAGTATAATGAGAGGAGAACCCTACAAGGAGTAACATTGCACTAGATTACCATTCACATCTAAAGCACTTCTTTGAGGTAAAAACTAATTGTATTTATTAGATAAGAACAAAACAAAAAAAAGTGCTCTGTGTCAGAAAAAAAACATTCTTAAATAAAATTATACCAACTGTGGTTTATAATTGGTTTTAAACGTGCTACAGTTTATACAAGTCACTCCTTCAATTCAGTTCAAAGTTTTACAAAGTCTCTAAATGACAGTTTGTTTTGAATTAAGTACAGCATATTAAAAAACATAGTAACACTTGTAAATTGTTTAAAGTATATACAATTTAAATTTTAAAGGGGACAGATGTTACACGTGTGTATATATAGTCAGGATGAATAAAATCAGTTGAGTGGTAGCTTATATTATATATATAGAGAGAGCATATAATTCAGGACTAGCATAAATAGAAAGAATAGGGAAACCCATTGAAGTAAAAGCTGACAATACAATTACACTCTTATATTACTTTGAGATGAAGGAGGAAACTTTGCAGCTGATATATAGATACATTCAGGTAATGCTTCATCCCTGACTAGACTTCTATTAGGGTGTCTCCCTTATTCATGAAAACAGATGAGACTGTTAAAGGGACACGCCAGGCACCCAGACCACTCCTGCCCATTGGAGTGGTCTGGGTGCCAACTCCCACTACCTTTAACCCCGCAAGTGTAATTAGTGCAGTTTTTCTCATTATTCCTAACTGTCCTGTAGCCCATGGAGCGGAGCAGCGCAGCTAAGGGAGTGGGCCTTGACATTGAGACAGGCATAGGAGGAGTGTAATGTAAGGAGACTGGCTTACCTGTTTTGTGCCGGCTGTGTGGTGTCTCTTTTATCTTGCAGGTGCTGCTGTTGAAGAATGGAGGGATGGCTGGCTGGTGTCTGGGCTGCTATACAGCAGAGAGGTGTTTCCTGGCTTCGGGAGCATCTGGGAGAGGCCCTGTTCCCATCTGGGCCTTCTGATTCTGGGTCCACAGGAACGGATGGGTGCTTCCTGGTCGTCCCACTCGGAGAACCCGACCTCCGCAACACTTGAGCCCCAGCACTGGCTCCACCGGGCGGAAGAGGGTGAGCTCTTTACTAGAATTGAGGCCGGATGCTGCTGTGAGAGGTGGGAGCTTGGGATGTCGTGGCTGGTGCCTGTGCATATGAGGCTGAGGCTGCACCTTCGGGCCATGAAGGAGAGGAGTGTTTGGGTCGTGAACAGGAGTCGGCTGGCGGTGGCGCACTTTTGAGACGAACACGGAGGTTGGCATATGTTCGGGCCGAGAACAGGCACATAAGGGAACAAGAGAAAGTTTGGGCCGCGAACAGGTGGACTGCTTACAGGTGCGTGGAACGTCTGTCGAATGTTTGGGCCGCAATCAGGAAGGTCGAAAACTGCCTCATGTTCGGTGTACGAGCTGGAGAACAGTTAGGGCCGTGAACAGGACTCCAGGATGCCGGGTTGGGGCCACATTCAGGGGAATGAGCAAGAATCACTGCGAATGGCTAGAAGGAGAAGGGCAGGGACAGCCACAGCATGTCACGATTCTGGAACCTAACATGCTAACAGGACACAGAGAGGAAGGATGCTATACCGGTCCTTAGATTGGCTGGGCTAAGCACACTAAGAATAGTCAGGAGACAAGCCAAGTAAAGGGAGCCAGAAAACGGGAGAACGAGAAACAAGCCAAGGTCAAAGGAGTGGAGAATACAGGAAAATCGGAATAACAAGCCAAATAATCGGTAACCAGAGAGCAACACGAGAAAACTGCACTACAGGTATCACAAGACCACAACAGGGCACTGAGAGACAGGAAAGGAAAGTATAAATACCCTTTGCTTAATTCTGATTGGATAACTTCCAATCAGAATTAACAATCACACGTTGGAGATATCTATGCCTCCCATTGTGATTGTGGTACTGTTGCTTTAACGCCGGGTCACGTGAGTTTGCATAAATTTGCGACCTCCCAGCGTGCAGCGTTATACATGCTGCCGCTGGGAGGCATGGAGGACGCGAGCGGCAAGCAGCGGAGAGGAGACGCTGCTCGCCGACAGGTAGGAGGAGGGGAGAACGCGGACCCCTGGCATTAGGAGCCTCGGGGGTTTAACGTTAGGGGATTTACACTGTGTGCAAACACGACAAGCCTGCACATAATCTACCACGTCTTGTTTAAGTGAGGGCCACCAAAACTGTTGAAGGAGACCCTTGTATGTTTTGGTAACCCCTGGATGACCAGCCATTTTGGCTGTGTGAAATAAAGCTAATAATTTCTTTCTATCTTTTTCTTTCACGTATAATCTACCAAGAGGTGTCTCAGAGGGTGCTTGGGATTGGTATGTCTTGATACCATCAAGGAAAAGAGACAAAATAACCAAACGGGTAGGAGATATTATCTTAGATGTAGGTATAATGGGTTCAGGAGCGGGGGCAATTGACTCCAAGGGTTCGTATTGACTGGAGATAGCATCAGCCTTGACATTATGGTACCCAGGCCTATATGTGATAATGAACTGAAAGCGTGAAAGAAATAAAGACCATCTGGCTTGACGAGAGGACAACCTTTTAGCATCTGCTATATAGGAGAGATTCTTATGATCAGTTATGACCAGGATTTTGTGTCTTGCTCCTTCTAATAAGTACCTCCATTCTTTAAAAGCCATCACAATAACGAATAGTTCCCTGTTCCCAACATTGTATTTCTTTTCCGAATCAGACAGCCTTTTAGAAAAGTAACAACAGGGATGGAGGGGTTCGTTATGCGATAGTCTTTGGGATAATACAGCTCCTACACCTGATTCTGAAGCGTCTACTTCCATAACAAAGGGAAGGGAAGGGAGGGATCAGGATAGTGTAGCACCGGGGCAGTGGCAAATGCCTTTTTGAGAGTCTCAAAGGCTTTAACGGCTTCAGGAGTCCAAACCCTGGAGTGCAAACCCTTTTTAGTCAGTTTTGTGATAGGAGAAATGACTGATGAAAAGTTTTTAATAAACCTCCGATAATAATTGGCAAAGCCTATAAATCGCTGTATTGCCTTAAGGCCTTGGGGAAGAGGCCAAGACAATATGGCTTCTAATTTTGAAGGATCCATGCTGAATCCGTGTTCAGAAATGGCGTACCCTAGGAATTGTACTGATTTTTGGTCAAATAAACATTTCTCTAATTTACAATAAAGACCGTTCTGCAGCAATCTCTTAAGTACCATCCTCACATGGGCATGATGTGACTCCAAATCAGGAGAATATACAAGTATATCATCGAGATAAATCATGGCACAGACATGCAGTAAACCTCTAAGGACATCATTTATGAGGTCCTGAAACACAGCAGGAGCATTACACAGTCCAAAAGGCATGACTAGATACTCGTAATGCCCACTGCGTATATTGAACGCTGTCTTCCATTCATCATTCTCTTTTATACGAACCAAGTTATAAGCCCCCCTGAGGTCTAGTTTAGTATAATATCTAGAACCTTTAACACGGTCAAACAACTCAGTGATGAGAGGGATAGGATAAGCGTTTTTAATTGTTATATTATTCAGGCCCCTGTAGTCTATACATGGCCTCAAATCGCCCTCTTTCTTGGCAACAAAAAAGAAACCAGCACCAGCCGGAGAGGAAGACCTTCTGATAAAACCTTTACGTAAGGATTCCTGTATGTACTCCTCCATGACCTGGTTTTCTTTCTCAGAAAGTGGGTAGACCTTACCCCTAGGGGGCATAGTACCAGGTAACAGGATTATGGCACAATCATAATCCCGGTGTGGGGGTAGCTTATCAGCCTCCCTTTTTTCAAAGACCAATGCGAGGTCTGCATACACAGGAGGGACAGAAACAGAAAGTGGTTTAGCTGTAGGCACATTAAGTAAGCAAACAGGACGTAAACAGTCCATACAGTCTCGTTGAAAAGATTCCCCCCAGGAGAGTATATCTAAACAACCCCAATCAAGTACCGGGTTATGCTTAACGAACCAGGTAAAGCCCAGAACGATGGAAGCTGTAGGGGAGTCAATTATTTGGAAGGTTGACCTTTCCTTGTATAAGGCACCCACGGCCATAACCATTTCTTGGGTTTCATGGGTCACCAGAGGTTTATCAAGTGGTCTACCATCTATGGCCTCAACAGCCAAGGGTGTGGCCTTTTGGATCAGAGTCAAGGCTGCGGTTTTTGCAAAGTTCTCATCCATAAAGTTGTCTGCAGCACCTGAATCGATCAAGGCTTTAGTTGTTATAGTGGTTTGATTGACCAAAAGAGTAACCGTAATAAATGGTCTGGAGATGGACACATGAGGGGGGAAAAACATAACACCCGAGGCCGACCCCTCTCTAGGCCTTAGGTGCTGAAGTTTCCCTGCAAACTAGGACAGTTTCTTCAGAGATGATCCCTCTTTCCATAATAAAGGCACAAGCCCTCCCTTCTGCGATACGTTCTTTCAGCTTCAGTTAAGCCTACAGCACCTAATTGCATGGGTTCGGGAGGTGGTTGATTAGGGGGAGGTAATGCTAGTAATGCAGTACTGGGTAAAGCAGGAAACCCCTGCGTAGTCATCGTTCTTTGACTACGCCTCTCTCTAATACGGTTGTCAATAAGAATGATATAATCTATTACATCATCCAGAAGAACAGGCAATTCCCTGGATGCTATTTCATCAAGTATGTAAGCGGCCAAACCCTCCTGAAAGGCTGTTACGAGGGCGTCGTTATTCCAAACCACTTCAGCTGCCAGAGTGCGGAATTCAATGGTATAATCCGCTACAGATCTATTAACCTGTCGGACCCTAAGCAGAGCTTTGCCTGCAGAAGCAACCCTGCTGGGTTGATCAAATGTACGTTTAAAAGCTGTCAAAAAGTCTGCAAAGGACATTGGGGACGTATTCTCCCACATGGGATTAGCCCATGCTAGAGCTTTCCCGGACAAGTGGTTGATCAGAAAAACAATTTTGGTTCTGTCAGTGAGGTAGGAACGAGGATTCATCACCAAATAAATATCAATTTGGTTGAGGAAACCACAGCACAACGCTGGATCACCGCTATAGCGCTGAGGTGGCATCATGTGAACCACGTGAGCAGGAGCGGGTACTGGATCGGGAATGGGTTCTGGCACCGCTGCAACAGCTTCTTGAACGGCAGGTTGCAGGTGGGCAGTAAGAGCCAGTATGGTTTGTAAAGCCTGGGCAAACTGATCCATATGATGGTCTAAGCCATCCATTCTAGCCTACTGATTTACTAACAACTGTGGAATGTCAGCAGGTTCCATGGTGGCCCTGTTGTAATGTCACGATTCTGGAACTTAACACGCTAACAGGACACAGAGAGGAAGGATGCTATACCGGTCCTTAGAGTGGCCGGGCTAAGCACACTAAGAATAGTCAGGAGACAAGCCAAGTAAAGGGAGCCAGAAAACAGGAGAACAAGAAACAAGCCAAGGTCAAAGGAGTGGAGAATACAGGAAAATCGGTAACCAGAGAGCCGCTCGCTGACAGGTAGGAGGAGGGGAGACCGCCCGCGGACCCCTGATAGAAGCAGGCTTTGCAGCAGGCAAGGGATTGCTGTTGGTCATGACGGAGAGGTGGTTCTGGCTGGTGACATGCTGGGTGAGTTGTCCCCCATCCTGATGAGTCGCAAGTCATGTAGGCAGCAGGCGGATGGTGGAAAGGCGGGCACCAAGCACCCAGGTAACAGCAGGGTCCCCTATGGCCAGTGGGCATCGATGGGCTTCTCTTAGCAGGTCACGGGAGCTAAATTTGTCCATGGGGTTGCCTCGCAGGTCTGCGTCCAGATCGCCTAGCGTGGGTAGAGGTGGCCTAGCTAGGGGACCTGAGTTGGAAAATGGGTAGACGGGCTACCACACCGATTAGATCCCCATCACGGGTAGACATGGAGCGCTGCACTCAGGACTTTCATGTCAGGCACCCCAGGGGTCACGCTATAGCTCCCGGAGTGGCCAAAGTGATCAGGCAGGCTACCATGGGGGGGGTCCCCAGGGTGCAGAAGATCAGGTTCATCTAGTGGGAGTTCTCATGTAGACTACGAGGAACAGCTGGTGGGGAGCAGGCATGGCCACAGGGGATAGGAGGCCAGGTCCCAGTGAGAGAGTAGGGCAACCAGGACTCAGTCAGGCAGCCATGTGGATATATAACTGGAGGTGCCATCACGCCCTAACTTGGACAACATCAGACGGGACATGGCCTGACAGCCTTCAGTAGCAAGAGGTTCCGGCGGTGAGTTGTCTGTTAAACCTTCTGGGGACATTTTAGAGGGTCTCAAG